ATGAATAAGTTTACTCACTCATTCAATACTATTTGTATATTTTATTCTTAATAAAAATAAATATATTTTTTAATTAGAATATTTAAGTTTAAATTTTAAAATACACTAAATATTATTAGAATTAATATAAACATAAATTAAGAACTTTAATTTGCATGGATTACGTTGCTAGGTTCACGTGAGCATGCATGGAGGTTCCTAACGGTGGCCAGAGCTCTGCCCTCCAATCCATTCAACTGGTGGTCCTCCTCCATAGGGCATCTTCGTCATCCAAGCTTCCTCCAGGCTTCCATCCAAGATCCTCCTCAGTTGTTGCTCCTCTTTGATCGGATTTAAAAAGTTCTCTTGTTTGAGATCTGAAGAAGGGAGATGAGAGATGGCAGTCGACACTCGACATATGAGAATGAGATGATGACGAGCAGATGATGAGCAAATAACAATAGGATTTGTGATTTGGTTGGGCCTCAGAAGTAAAAACATGGAATTGGGTAATATGGCTTTTATAACTTATATGTATAATATCAGTTTTCTGTTCGGTTTGGTTAACCGAACATTTATATCCAAACTGAATCGAAACCGAAATTTTTTAAAAAAATACAAACTGAAAACCGAGCAAAAATTTCAGTTTCAGTTTCTATCGGTTAACCAAATTTTGTACACCCTTATGTAAAAGTATGTCTTTAATTCAACACTAATACGTAGCTCGTGCATCAATCTTTATAACAATGAAAACATTTTTTAATATTAATATTTTTTATAATATATAATAATTTAATGTATTAGTTATATGTTTATTTCACTCGTTACAAAATAGTTGACATTTTAGAATTCCAGTTTATAATAAGGATGGTGAAAATTTAACAAATGCACTCGCTCTATCTTCCTTTACTCAAACCTTATTACAATATATTATTTCGATTTCTACATAAGTTATGCTAAAGTTGAAAAACTATGACAAATATTATAACCAACACTTAATTGAAAAATATTGTAATATATATTATTTTGAGGTTTAAAAATTATTAGTTTTTAATTACGTAAATATTATTTTATATTTTGTAATAATGTTTAAATAAATATCTTAAATTTCCTTTATAATATATTAATTTATACGAGGTTTGTTATGATATAGTGAATGGTAATATGAATTTTTTAGAA